AAAAAAAAAAAAAAACAAAACATAACATCAAGTGTGTATGGAATGGGGAGATGTCCAGCAGGGGAGGTAGAAGCTCTGGGAAGACCACATGCCCTGCAGGGCCGCTGCCGCACGATCCAGCAGATAGGCTTCACTGTTGCCACCTGGCTCCATTCCCAGCCTGGCCCAGTGCGCACAGAGTGGGGAGACATCAAGCAGGGGAGGCAGAGCCTCCACAGAAACCACACACCCTGTGGGGCCACCACCGCGCAATCCAGCAGGTAGGCTTCACCGCCGCCACCCGGCTCCATTCCCAGCCCGGCCCAATGTGTACGGAGCAGGGAGACGTCTGGCAGGGGAGGTGGGAGCTCCGCGGGAACCACACCGCTGTCGTGCGATCCAGCAGCCCAGCCCAGTGAGTATGGATTAGAGACATCCAGCAGGGGAGGCGGAAGCTCCATAGAGACCACATACCTTGTGGGGCCGCAGCCATGCGATCTAGCAGGTAGGCTTCACCACTGCCACCCGGCTCTATCCCCAGCCCGACCCAGTGCACAAGGAGCAGAGAAACACCCAGCAGGGGAGGTGGAAGCTCCATAGAGACCACACACCCTGTGGGGCCACCGCCACGCGATCCAGCAGGTAGGCTTCACCGCTGCCACCCAGCTCCATTCCCAGACCGGCCCAGGGCACACAGAGCAGGGAGACATCCAGCAGGGGAGGCAGAAGCTCCGTAGAGACCACACGCCCTGTGAGGCTGCCGCTGCACGATCCAGCAGTAGGCTTCACTGCCGCCACCTGGCTCCATCCCCAGCCTGGCCCGGCGCGCACAGAGCAGGGAGAAGTGGAAGCTCCAGTAGGGGGAGTGGAAGCTCTGCAGAGACCACATGCTCTGCTGTGCCTCCGCGCATCCCAGCAGCCAGGCCCAGTATGCGTGGAACAGGGAGACGTCCAGCAGGGGAGGTGGAAGCTTGGCAGAGACCACACACCCTGCAGTACCACCCCATGACCCAGAAGCCTGGCCGAGTGCATGCTGACCAGAGAGGTGGCTCCCTGGAGAGGCCCAAGACTTAAGGCAACCACACACACAAGGCACTAGTGGCCAACCGAGTAGACACTGAGGTAGCCATACCAAATTGGCAACCCCAGCAAGATCATAGTCAGACAAT